TCTACGATGCACAACCTACTTTAGCCTTAGCAGATTTGTAAGGATCCTTGCAAATATGCTGGCCATTCTACTCTACCGCTAGAATGGCGTACTCTACGATGCACAACCTACTGTAGCCTTAGCAAATTTGCAAGGATCCTTGCAAAGATGCTGGCCATTTTACTCTACTCGACCGCTAGAACGGTGTACTCTACGATGTACAACCTACTGTAGCCTTAGCAGATTTTCGCAGATCTTTGCAAAGATGCTGGCCATTTTACTCTACTCGACCGCTAGAACGGTGTCCTCTACGATGCACAATCTACTGTAGTCTTAGCAGATTTGTAAGGATCCTTGCAAAGATGCTGGCCATTTTACTCTACTCGACCGCTAGAACGGTGTCCTCTACGATGCACAATCTACTGTAGTCTTAGCAGATTTGTAAGGATCCTTGCAAAGATGCTGGCCATTCTACTCTACCACTAGAATGGCGTACTCTACGATGCACAACCTACTGTAGCCTTAGCAGATTTGCAATGATCTTTGCAAGGATCCTGGCCATTTTACTCTACAGGGTTACCACTGGACCGGTATACTCTACGATGCACAACCAAGTGTAGCCTTAGTAGATTTGCAAGGATCTTTGCAAAGACGCTGGCCACTTTACTGTAACACTAGAACGATGCACAACCTACTGTAGCCTTAGCAGATTGGCCTGCGTTGGAAATATGAACCCGATTGCAATTATCGATTTTCTAACCCAAAATGAGTACAATCGCCATACAAATACTGTGTAGTGATACAGAAATTGTCAAGACGAAAACCGCCTTGGCTCGAGTTGATTTCAAGTCGGGTTTCGGCTTGACTTTGCTGAGCTCTAGAGGTTGGGCACAATTGGAATGGAGACAACTTGCGCGATGGACAAAATTAGCTAGATTCTACTCAAAATGAAATGAGCTACAGTACAGTAGAGAAATAACGCTCCAATCTTGCAAATTCATTGTACTGTAATGTATTTATTGATTGCATCGCCAGTAGTCCAAATTAGTTGTATATTCAACTATACATAACTCTACGGTGGTTCACAATCTCTTTCCTACTACAGCTGATCAAGTAATCCCTGCAGCTGATACTGACTGAAATTGTCGGCTTCGATATGTGCGCAGTTTATTGAACAGCAATAGCAGTTATCATCACTGATCAGCCTGTTAGAATTGTACATTTGAAGACACAATTATCGGATGATTGGGTCTACTGTGCAATGAGTGTGCAACAGTGCATGCACAACAGCGACCACAGTATGAATGATTAGCGACGATCAAAGTCTCCAATCTTGTAAATTCATTCTACTGTACAGTATTTACGGTATTTATATCATCCTATGCAGTGCAAGAAGGCGAATGCAAGGATAGAAGATGAATTTGCAAGGCCACTGAGGCAAAATAATGGAAAAGCTATCGGCTGATCAAGAAGGATTGTTCAAGTAGTGCCAATTTTTCAACACAATATATTGTGCAAGTGATTTATCTATTTCATTCGTCGTCCTCCTATTGCTGTCGTTATATTTTGATCTTAATGACCCAATCCATGCCATCCCTACAGTAGCTTTACAGTGCTGCTGCAAGATAAAAAAAGAGACACGGTGCACCACTTGGTTATGCAAGCGTTTGTTAAACATTCAGTCGGTGGGGGAACTTTTGGAAAAGGAGGCAGCGGCGGTAGGTATAGTCAAAAAGATGCAACAAATTCTGCTGCTGGTCATCTCAATTGAGCCATCAATGGGAAATAAAGCACTATCCTGTCCGCGATTGCCATCCAAATGAGCTGCTAGTTGGGCATTATCTTCAACTACTAAAACATCTTGTTTTAGTACATTAAAAGGTTTTCTATTACTACATTATGTCGGTTTTTCTTTTAGTAAAGTGAAAGGTTGTCTTCTGGTTATCTCAACTGAACCGTCAATGGGAAATAAAACACTATCCTGCCCGCGATTGCCATCCAAATGAGCTGCTAGTTGGGCATTATCCTCAAGTACTAAAACATCTTGTTTTAGTACATTAAAAGGTTTTCTTGAAATGGGAAAGAAAGCACTATCCTGTCCGCGATTGCCATCCAAATGAGCTGCTAGTTGGGCATTATCCTCAAGTACTAAAACATCTTGTTTTAGTACATTAAAAGGTTTTCTTGAAATGGGAAAGAAAGCACTATCCTGTCCGCGATTGCCATCCAAATGAGCTGCTAGTTGTGCATTATCTTCAACTACTAAAACGTCTTCTTTTAGTACATTAAAAGGTTTTTCTGTTAGTAAAGTGAAAGGTTGTCTTCTGGTCACCTCAACTGAACCGTCAATGGGAAATAAAACACTATCCTGTTCGCGATTGCCATCCAAATGAGCTGCTAGTTGGGCATTATCCTCAAGTACTAAAACATCTTGTTTTAGTACATTAAAAGGTTTTCTTGAAATGGGAAAGAAAGCACTATCCTGTCCGCGATTGCCATCCAAATGAGCTGCTAGTTGGGCATTATCTTCAACTACTAAAACGTCTTCTTTTAGTACATTAAAAGGTTTTTCTGTTAGTAAAGTGAAAGGTTGTCTTCTGGTCACCTCAACTGAACCGTCAATGGGAAATAAAACACTATCCTGTTCGCGATTGCCATCCAAATGAGCTGCTAGTTGGGCATTATCCTCAAGTACTAAAACATCTTGTTTTAGTACATTAAAAGGTTTTCTTGAAATGGGAAAGAAAGCACTATCCTGTCCGCGATTGCCATCCAAATGAGCTGCTAGTTGGGCATTATCTTCAACTACTAAAACGTCTTCTTTTAGTACATTAAAAGGTTTTTCTGTTAGTAAAGTGAAAGGTTGTCTTCTGGTCACCTCAACTGAACCGTCAATGGGAAATAAAACACTATCCTGTTCGCGATTGCCATCCAAATGAGCTGCTAGTTGGGCATGATCCTCAACTACTAAAACATCTTGTTTTAGTACATTAAAAGGTTCTCTTGAAATGGGAAAGAAAACACCATCCTGTCCGCGATTGCCATCCAAATGAGCTGCTAGTTGGGCATGATCCTCAACTACTAAAACATCTTGTTTTAGTACATTAAAAGGTTCTCTTGAAATGGGAAAGAAAACACTATCCTGCCCGCGATTGCCATCCAAATGAGCTGCTAGTTGGGCACTATCCTCAAGTACTAAAACATCTTGTTTTAGTACATTAAAAGGTTTTTCTTTTAGTAAAGTGAAAAGTTGTCTTCGTCTCTTCCATCCTAGTAGACAGAATATAAGGTGATGGCCAACTGTCCGAGTTGGGTCGGATCCGGATCCGGATCCGATCCAGTGCGGTCCGAATGCAGTCCGGGTTTGGAGCCGAACGAGACCACAATGAGTACCGTACCCAAGTGGATCGACAAGACTATCTAGTATCCAATACACCGATAGCATCTAGAGGAATTAGTATCAACACCGACCGTCTCGATCGATTTCACTATGACATGGCTTTCAACACCCTGGTCAGTGCAGTCAACCCGCCTTCAAAAGGGATCAATAATCTTCCATACTGACAACTATACAGTATGCAATACACTAGATCGTCGATGATACTGTAGCCTCTCATTCAGCCAACAATCTCATTCAACTGCCAACTATTGGAGCCATTGCAAGTCCAAAGTGAAGAAAAAGCAAGCCACCATTAAGCGAAGAACAGCCAATAGCTAAAAGAAAGAGGCCAAATTGGAAATCAAGGGAAGACTTGAGAGAATTTGTTACAGCAATGGCACAAAAATCTCCAAAAGTCTCTCTTGAAGCTCAAAGTGACGCCGTGGTCTACCATGTTGGAGGTGAGTAAGATTGTCAGTGATATCGATGGAATTTCTTGTCGTACTTGCTTCTCGATTTGGAAACTTTTCCTATCGATACTTGCTAATATAGCCCAATGGTCATGCTAGCCATGCAGTATATCCTATAGACTAGTAATCCAACATCAATTTCAACCAGCTTAGAAATAGAATAGGATACGATAGTATCGGCAAATGCGGCATAATATCATCCAGGGTAGTCAACCCAAAGGACAGTCTTCATTGGTTACTATGACAATCCTCTTGCCTTTCTCGCTTTTCAACCCAAAATAGTCCTCTTCTCGTTTGGCGAGTAGGAAGAGGATAGAAAGAATTC